GAGCCTGCTCTCCATCTCCACTTGCAGCCAGCAGGGGCCTCCACACCTGATGCAGGCCCTCAGCTGGACTCTGGGCAACCCCAGGCCCACAGAAGAAGGCTCTTGAGGTGGGTTGACAGGATTGCTACCTATGTCCGAAAACTGTGCTGTTGCTCACCAGGGGTCAGCAATAAGTTGGCTCCCATGTAAGAGGGCATAAAGGTGGCAGCTTCATTAAGTGTGGCTCCAGTGAAGGGAAGAGATGACCCAGGCAAAACCAGGGGATAGCCAGAGGACCCTGTTCTCTATGGAATCTGACACCTTGTATGGGCATCGGATGTGTGGACTCTGAACCACTGCAGGAGCACGATGTGCCAAGACATCAGGTTTCTCTGCCCAAGGACCAAGAACCCTGCCCAAGCACCCAGCACCCTTCTGCATCCATCAGGACATCAGGACTCTCCTGTGCCTCCACCTGCAGAAGAATCAGAGGCTGCTTCCTTGGGACCCTTCCCCTGCCCTATTCCTCTTTCCTTTCTCCCATTCCCCAGTGATGATTCTCACTAAATTTGTTTCAGACAAATTTGGTATAAAACCATTGTTCAAAATGTTTATAGTTGCTTTATTTGTAATCACCTCACTCTGGAAACAATCCAAATGTCCCCTAGAAAACCATGATATGTCCATACTGTAAAATGCTCTCAGCAATAAAATGAGAAGACTTCTGATATAAACAAAAACATGGATGAAAAGCAAATAATTTATGATAACGGAAAGAAGCCAGATTCAAAAGGCTTCAATACTGCATGATTCCATTCATATGGCATTCTGGAAAAGGGAAAAAAAGCCAACCATTGGATGCCAGGGGCTGGCGGGTAGTGTTTAGGGGTTGACTGCAGATATCACAAGGGAATTGTACCTTTGCAGTGCTGGTCCATTGAACACAGGACCTTGTGCATGCAGGGCAAGTTCTCTACCACTGAACTGCAGCTCTAGCCCAACAAGGGAGCTGCTCTGGTTAGGAAACTATCTTGATTTGATAACATGACTATATACTTTTAAAAAGTATCAGAACCGATAGCTAGGTGCAGAGTTGCACACCTGTAATCCCAGAAACTGGGGAGGTTGAGCAGCAGGATCACTAATTTGAGGCCAGTGTCAGCAACTTAGTGAGGCCTTAAACAATGTAGTGAGAACTTGTCTCAAATTTTTTTAAAAGGCCTTGGATGTATGTCCCTTTAAAAGTAAAGCAACCCTTGTTTCAATTCCCAGGACAAAAAAAATAAGTACTAGAACTATAGACTGGAAAGGGTAGATTTTGTAGTGTGTGAGACTTTATTGGAAAAATGTAAAGAGCCAAGAATAAACAAGACAATTTGTTAAAAAATGAAATAAATTAAAAGTGTTTCTTCAGATATCAAGAATCATTATGAAAATGATGTGATTAAAATAATTTATATTGGTTCACAGAAGGAGTAAACTGTTGATAAAAAAAAGAACTTAGAAACAGATCTCTTAATATAGGATCATGATAAATCATAGAAGTGGGTGGGAATAATGTCTGTCTTTTCATTAAGAGGATATGAAAACATCGGTTCACCAGGTTATTTTTTTAAATGCAATTTATTTCTGCCTAACATCTACAGAAACCCTCTCCTGAAATCTTATCTAAAACATGGAACAACAGGAAGTCTCACACTGCTGGTGAGAGTATAACTCCATTCAAGATATGGGGAAACAGTTTAGCAATATTCACCTAATTTAGAAACATTCATATCCCATGATCCAAGCAATTCCACTCCATGGCAGGAACACACACAACAGAAACGTGATTCCATGTGCACCAAGACACCTGGGAGCATTTATGAATGGAGCCCCAATGGAGAAATGACCTAAATATTCATTAATAATGGAATGAATTTGTAAAAAGTAGTGTTTTATTTTTTACAATAGTGTAGCATAAACAAGGAAATGAGTAAAATGTACAATGGATGCTTTGGTTACATGGTGGCAAACCTGTCCCTTTCTCTGGGTCATCTTTTCCCTCTTCATGGTGTCTAGGGAAATTGCCTAAAGGGCCCCAATGTTCACTCTTTCCAACAGTCAAGCTCTTGGTCATGTGACTTGGAGTTCCCCTTAAATAAAAGGTGCAATGGATCTCTTCCTGTAGAACCTGGGCTTGGCTCTGTGACTGTCTCTGGTCAGTAGAAAGAGATGCAAATGAGAAGGGGCCAGTTGTGTGTGCAGGCCTCCTGAGGCATCCTGTGTCTTTCTTATCCTACACTCGCCCACCCCTTTGGCCTCTTACGTTTCTAACATCACTATGAGAAAGACATGCCTGGGTGCCCAATGTGACTAAGGTGTCCCAGCC